TCTACTAGGATTATTAGTGTTAGGCATCAAATTAAATCACTGAGACTCATTCATTGGATCCACACGTAACACATGTAACAGGAATGATTCATGACTTGTTGCAGACATCAGGAAAATTTTACTACCATTAAGATAAACGAATGAAGAACTGTTGAACTATATATATAAGGGAAGTTTGGAAGTTGTATGAATATGAGCAATAAATGTTGTTCAAAACGTCATTCAGTAAATAATAATACAGTACCACTTAGTGCTGTATCCATCACAGTGCCCTGTTACATTAGTGCAAAAATTATCTTTACTTTTTTTCTCATGTCTATTCTTTAGATAGATACAGAATACTGTTTCACCTATCCACTCAACACTAGTCCTATTGCAAGCTATATTAACTCACTTACTTACTTACATATAGGGTCTTTCTGACTCTTCAACCCACTCTGCATTTCATTAATATTCCTTTCATTTATCAATGAGTCATTTACACTTTGTTTTGAAATAGTGGAGAATATTTGTAGCTCAGGTGGATGGTCTTGGTTGCATTGTGTTCTCTGAGCTAAGTTGTTTCATCATGAAGCTTTCATCGTCTTTCTGGACGATATCATCAACACTAACTTCAGTATTAAGTGAGCTGTCAATATCTCTCCATGAGGGTTTTAGTAGCTTGCCTTGACGAAGCGACCTATGATTGGTTGTTTACTTTGATTGTTGTGTCATTGACTGACTGCATAGATTTTCTTGCTGGCTGTCCCTCTGCTTGACCTCTTACTTTTCTATCGTTTATCATTTTTCTTGTTGGTTGATAGATTGGGTCTCTGTCTATACATCTGTTGACTGCTGACTGACTGTCTGACCTGAATGACAAGCTTCTAGGAATTCTCTGATATTCTGTTTGTATTTCCTCTCTCCATCCAACATTTCTACATTGTCAAAATTCAATTCATCTCCATAGTTGTTATCCACACTCATTGAAATGAGTGATGAAATGTCGTGACGTTTAGTAGCTAATTGGTGTCCATGTAGACGAAGGCGTAGATGATCATCACTTTGTCCAATGTAGTCCTGACTACAGTTATAGCAGTTGATTTTGTAAATGATGTTCAGTTTGTCTTGCTTGCTTGTTGCATCGTTTGATGTGCATAATAGTGTTTGCAGGGAATTTGTTGGTTTATAATGTCGTCTAGAAAGACGATGAAAGCTTCACGATTAAACAACTCAGCTCAGAGAACACAATACAACCAAGAAAACTTTGTTTTCATTGGCTTCTCTTTGATTTTTGATCTTTTTTCTCCCTTCAAAATTAAATTGTTGACATGAACAGGTTTTGATCATTGGAACAGTTGTTTTGTTAATGAAGAGAGAAGCTTCTGTTTCTGTGTATTTCTGCGAGACTAATGTGTTTGGACATAAAGTGAACATATCAAATTACCGCCGCCACAATGTGCCGTGCTAAGCGGAATTGGATTAAGCTAGAAGAAGGCTTAGGATAACCAGACCAAAACGTGGCACTAGTCGATGAAGTCGCTGACTGTTGGCCTGAGCCATGTGAGGAGATGTAGACTACTTGGTTGGGGTCATCGAGACCACAATAATCAGTAGCTGAGAACTCTCAGTCAGCATGGAGTAGGTGTATACAATCCTGTCTGAATATTCACACTGACCGTTGTCTTCAAACTGCTTATTCTCCCACGCAACTTTGTCGATTTTAATACCACTCTTTTCCTACCCACTTCTTCTTTGTACGTTGCTGTGAAATGTGGAAAACTGAACGAGTGCATTTCTGTGAGAGGTTCTACGGTGGTTTTAGCTGTCTGTGTGTCGATCTATGTGTCTGTCATTATCAAGTACATATACACAATTTATCTGTGAGGATGTCTATGATAATGCTGGAATCCAGACCATCCAGTCAAAATGATTTACACGGTATTTTCAGATCTCCAGATATAAAACTTTGTCACTGTAATATCAAGGTTTGGTAATCGATTGAGTTTGATCTGCGCAAATTAGCCAAAAATTATCGCCACGTAGACTGTTTCAGCTATGTGGTATGCAGATAGTAACTATAAATAAATTCAGATTGATTTGTCACTAGGGGATAACCAAATTCATGCTGTCTACCCTGAAGTGCTGATTGAATTCTATTGAAATGCTGAATATAGTTCGATCAACACTCAGGACGTCTCTGAGTGCAACATTGGTTGGGGTGGGCTTGAATTCAAGGCGGGACATCACTTCTGTAGAGGCTGCAGATACGTCTCGCTGACGAGTGCCAATAAGTACAAAAGCTAGGTCGAGAAAGGCTTCCTGCCTATTGCCTCAATTCAACTGACATTTGTCAAAAAGCATCGCTATGTTGAGTCAATCAGCTTGATAGCCGCATTTCAAAGTGTTCGGTAGAACTCAATCAGCACTTAGAACTAGGCAACATGAAGTTGGTCGTCCTCCATTGAGGAACCAATCGACCTCATCCAGTCCTACAGGATGTCGGTGGCGGCCGGAATAAGTCAGTGGCAACGTCTTTGACTTCAGTGATGCAGGTTTAAATCTCAGACGAGATATCAGTTCCGTTGAAGTCATGGATACACCTTGCTGACGAGAGCCAATAATCATGAAACGTGAGTCAAGCAAGGAGCCCACAATCCCACTGAAAAGCCAGATAAATAAGTTTTTTATAGTACGGGACGGGTAAAAATGTAGCAACTCTTTCCAATGAAGAATTTCAGGCTATTACGCTACACTATAATGAAAGAAGGGAGGCGGCATCACTAAGGATTATTGAGAAATCCAAGCAAATGCTGGATAACATTCAGGCAGAATTTACGTCTATAAGTCTTCAGATATTGAAAAATACTTTTCTCAAATACTTCATTTATGGATATAGTGAGGCTGGAAATGAGTTCAAGAAGCTTGATAATGTGAATCATGTTACGTCGATGGATGAGAACGATATTAACCCTTCAACTACCCACCACAAAATAGTAAATAATACAGACATTCAGTTAGATCATGTTAATGAAAACCATGAGTTTGCAAACTGATGTAACATGTTTAGTGCCATCAAGCCTTTCAACGGCCATACCTCAAAATGAACGTCTACAAGAAGTTCTCAATGAGTACTAGTGCAAACCCAAATATCAGCGTGAAGAATTTCACATACACTCAATCAATTTCACTGCCCGTGTACAGGCATCAATTGACGTGGTTGCTTGGCATCATTGTGGATGAGTTTATCAAAGACAATTTATGTCCATATAAGAAAATGGACACGAAAACTGTCTGCAAGTCAACTCCACTTCAGATGTAACATCCACTAACCAGCAGGGAACTGGAAAATCCCGAATCCACCCAAATTCATAGGTCACTAACAGTTCATGAGGTGGTGAGAAGCAAGTCATTGGGATAGAATAATGTGGTGTTGACTATGATGATTGATTGTATAGGGGAGTACCTTAAACATTCCAAGCAACTACACTTATATCCCTCTGACTGAAACTGGGTATAAGATCTGAAGCTGTCATCTAAGAGATGGAGGCTTGTTGGTAAACAGAAGCGAAATAGTATGTCAGGACTGCCTGCTCAAAAAAGCCTAAGTGAATTTGGTTTATTGAGTTTTACAAATTTGTGTGAGAATTTCACTTAGAATGTCTGTTGGACACGACTAGATGGTATGAACTGAATGCATTTTTGCGGAATCGGAGTCGTGAGGTATTGAAACTGCACGTGTAAGACTATAGGAGATGTTTTTGCAAATACTTATCAGTCTACTTTTTTGTCAGGAGGAAAAGGTTCATTGAATACTTTTCTTCAAAGTGTCAGCAAATCATTCCTCTTGCTTTCAGCTCCAATTCGGTAACTTAAGACTATGCCACAGGACATCTTCAGTATGAGAATATTCAAGAATAATTCGTTACTACTTAGTGAAACGTTACTCATCAATCAGAAGACATCATTTTACTATGAGTGTGTGTTTCAAGGGGGAGGTGTTATAGTGTGCAGAAAGATTGGCAAAATCCTCATCAGAAGCCGCTTATGTTTAAAGCCTTTTTCAAGCAATCGCTTACTTCGAAATTTCGCGAAGGAACACATGAACTAACGTGTAAGTATGAGGTTGGTTGGAGAGATGAAAAATCAATAGGATTTTAAATTTAAAAGGCTTGAAAATAGCCTAGGCCATTGTAATATATAAAAACCTTGTAATCTTTGTATATATTGAGAACGTTGACGCTGTGAATACACCATTCTGTCCTATTACTGCCTTTTTCTATTTATGAAGAAACTAAGTGACCAACTAAGGGGCAATCTGTGGGTATTTGTACAAGCGTCCGCACACGTATATTGCTTAGGTTATATCAAGTCATTGGTAAAGATATAAAACAGTCCAACACTTTAGAATGTGCATTTTCGTCAATACATGATAAAGCTATTTGATTGATTATTTTTATCGTGAGATTTTTATACACTTTTTAAAAATCCTGTCTGGAGGTTTGTGGAGGTTTATTGACTGACTTTAGGTTAGGATTCATCATGGACTGACATCAATTGAAGTAACATTGTAAATCTGGGAGAAGTGGATAGGTAGCTGTCTCGTCCTAGTATGGGACTGCTCAGCGGTGTGTGTACCCATGACTCCACTCCACTAGGGATTGAACTCAAGACCTTCAGATTCCGTGTCCAGCACGTTACCATTGAGGATATTTTGACTCAAGTTTCCTACTTTTAAAATCTTTTCAGTAGGAATTTAAGTTACTTTACAGTACCTGGGAAACTTGACTGGTTATGTAATTGCTTAGCTAGAATAAATAGGATCCAATAAGAACTAAAAGGAATCAACTAGCAGATGAAATACTGATAGTACAAATATCTGTGTAAGCAGTGGACTGTGATTAATCAACCTCTTTATTTAATATATCTTCTAAAATTTTTTGATAAAACTGTCACATGATGACTTTTCATTGAGTTAGTGATTTCTTTTTATTGTTGTTTTATCATCTTACTATTACAAGAAATGAAAATGAGATCTACAAATCTATTGAAATCTACTGGACCAAAAAATAATTTCTACTTTGAAGGTGAATTCAACCATAAAATTTCAGATGATCATATACCATTTACTAAAAAAGGTTTGTAAAATATTTTTATGAATATACAATCCATTTAAATTTTATAACGCATATCAGTATTTGAAGTTCTTCTGTTTCCTTGAATAGTACTCCATTACTCAGTTATTCACCTTCTGCTGTATAATCTCATTTTCCATCTGGATATGAAAACAGTTATAGGCTTATCAAATGTTGATACACAATATTGAAGTAATAGTGACTGGAAGTCTTATCTTTAATACCAATGAAATTAGGTTATTATTATATTATTATTTGTCCTTTGGGTTCCTAGTGGAACATAGAGCTTCAGTAGCACGTCTCGACTGAACTCTCTTCTATGCGTTCTTTTCAACCTGCCTCCACCACTTCCCACAAGCATTTATTTCTTCCTCACACCATCTTCTCAATGTCGTTACCCTCGGACACCTAACTCATCGTTTCCCATTTGGGTTCCACTCTAAGACCTGGCCTGGTGCATGATATTCCCAAATGATCTTCTCAGTTTATGTCCAGTCCAATCGATCTCCACTCTCTTCTGCATATTTGTTGAGCGATGGGTTGTTGGTTGGTTTGTTACCAGCCAGAGTGAGTTCCATGTTGCTTATTCTTATTATTCTGGCCTTCTGATCTGATCTTCAGTACCGAGTGAACGTAGACGGCAGTTGTTGTAGAATGTCTTTAGTTTGTTGGAAATGCTTTTCGTAACGCACTGCCAAGTCTCTCAACCATCACATGGAAGCACTGACTTACTTGACTGACATAAGGGTTGAAAACCCGGATATTTTTCACGCTTTATGTTGATTAGAGTGGAGTGAGGTAGATCTCCACACTGATTTCAGATTAATGAAGGCCTGTATTTCTGGTGTTTGTTGTTGGTGGTGGCTGGGTATCTTTATCACCCTTGTCTTCTCTACGTTCACCTGAAGGAGGTCCCGTCTTCGCTACCCTGCCTCTCCTGCCAACCTGTTAGTTTTCGCCTGTAGATCCTCGAGTTTGTGCGACAGGATATTCGAAATAAACCATCATCATCTTTGGCGAAATCTAAATCTTCTGGAGTTTTTTCATCGTTCCAGCCAGTGTATGCCCTTCTTCTGGCTCCTCACAGTTTGTTGCATGATCCATTCAGTCCAGTCGATCACAGTTAGGAAGACGATTGGTGATAGTAGGCTTTGAGTACATAACACTTTCAGATGACATATTTATATGCTTAAAACAAATTGAAAGGAAAACATTTGATATATATGCTCACTGGAAACTCTTGGTAGTACAGGGTTCAATTAAGCTACCATGATTAATGAATCAGGTGTTATTCATGTCATTATTTGGCTTAGTGGGAACAATATGACTGACTAAGAGGCAGTTGTAAGCAGCTGATGAGTTCGAAACTAGACGAAATACGCGTCCTAGATTCCACCCCTGACCACTATTCATCAATACTTTAAGTTGTTGTTTGTTTAAAAGCTGTTTTTAACAAAATTTAAAACTTGCTTTTCATCCTGTTTTCATTATTCACCTTTTGGATGAGTCTGCATTCCATTGAGTGAAACTCACCAGTAACACTCATCATTCTTAAAGCTTAATTATCATCTATTCATGACATTGCAGCCTATTATGTAACTCTGGAAACCAAATGAAATTTGTATCTAAAATTTCACTGGTAGTTTAGTTACTGATGCACAAATTACACTCGAATAAACTCATAGAAATTTTGGGACAAACCTACGAGGATGCGCATGAATCAGTGAAAAGTTGTCAATTCTGTCTAATAGGATGGAAAAAGAGTTAACCAGATATTGTTAGGAATAGTTATATTTATCACTACTTGTTGATATGTTTGTACTTCTTCATTCTTTTATGGGATCGAATTTTTCGACCTCTGTTGGCTCCTATACACCTGCCTCGATATTGCCTGGATGTTAAATATGGTCATTTACTTGGTTGTATCCTAGTGGATGACGATTTCGCATTTGAAACGATGGGTACGAGGTTCAAGTCTCAGTAAGAATAACATCACTCTGCACTGGGGCGCAGGTACATCCAGCTGACGAATCCCAAATTGGAAAAAACATGCGTCCTGAATATTCTCTGCTAGCCACAACCAAGTTAATTACCATAACAAATAGTTATATTACTGAATTTTATTTTAAAAACGAATTTTGTCACTGATTGTGGTTGTTTTGTACATTGATACGCTTGCTAAGTAATCTTTAAGAATAAGATAAGATATGCATAGTGTTTGTGTGATGTAACGGCAAGTAGACTATTTTCAGCATGGATTAAGTTATGATGAAACCAACTGACTGAATGAAGTCTAACTCGTAGTCAAGTTGAGTTGTTTAGAGAGAGAGAGAGAGAGAGTGAAGGTTAGTGACTTAGTGATAAGTGAATTGTAGGTTGGTATTCGTCATGGACTGGCATTAGTCGGAGAAAGATTGGAAATCTGGGAGCAGTGGACAACTTTTTGGTTGTGGTATGGTATTTCAGCAGTGCTCACTCATGACCCCGCTCCACCAGGAATGAAGTCTTGGACCTTCAGGTCTGGTGTGGAGCACGTTACGACTGAGCCACTGAGTTGGAATTGTGATGGTCTACATTTCCTACTTCTGTCAGTTCATAATATAGCTCACCCTTCATCCAGTGCCATCGTTGAGTAACTGTCCTCATGTTCGATATGACTTATCGGAACTTTAGGTTTACAGTGTTTCTCCAACTTACGTCAGTCCATGATGAATACCAACCTGAAATCAATAAATCCCCACAAGCCTCAAAATTGGATAAGGGAATTGTTCTTATCTCTTAGGTGTTTTAACTTAGGCTATATCAAAGAATGGTCTGTTATTGAATTAAATACTTAACTTTTAACAAATTGGTCCGAATTTTGAACCCAACTCCACATGCTTCGACCTGGTCAACTAGGTTGTAACGGAAGGCACCACACATTTACTATAGCTCATAGCCTGGTGTACAGACGTCTTGATAGAGTTGAGTTATTCACTGACAGTTAAGCTATCATCTCTGTCTAGCACGGAATCGAATCGAAATGCACTCAACAACCTTGTCCAAAGTCGTGCAGTAGGCGTTGAGTCTCCACCTATTGTATCACGGCTGATGATACTATCTGATCTGCCTAAACGACGATAGGCAGAGGGATGTTCGAACCTGTGACCTGCTGGTTGAAAATCAACTGACTAAACCAATGAGCCATAGCTGCATCTAAAAAATAATTTCCTCAATGGATTAAAGAACTAAAACACTATATGATACCTTTAAGTTTATAAATAACCCGAGAAAGTCAAAGAGAACTCATTCATTTATAATCTTTTAATATTAACTCTATATACTGCTACTGGCTAACATCAGAACATGTCAAGATAAACTTCATTAAGCGTTTCAATACCTTTATAATCAATGCATAGTTTTATCGTAAAATTTAATAATTACTGCTCATCTTAACAACAGTTCTAACACCAGCAGTTTGCTTTCAGTACACCGTTACACTAATGTACACTGTGAGTTTGATTGTTAGAACCTTTGAAGGGATGCTTACTAAACGTCAATTTCGGCGAACTTGAAATGTTTTCCATATGAATTATTTCCTTTGTTTGAGAAAATGCTTAAAGGCTGTTGTTTTAAAGATTTTCCAGCTCAGCATTACTTTTGAAAACTATGAACGCAAAATAGATTTCATTGATTTAAGAGAAAAAACTTAGGTAGAGTAAAACTCCATATTCGATTGTTTATTTAACACCGGGTACAGTGAGTGACACATTATTGGATTTTTGAGATGAATGGGAATCTTTAACTTAGAGGTAGTGGATGCGTATTGCCGAGAAGTCTCATACTAGGACAAGACAGCTGTCGAATGCTCCCAAATTTTCAATAGTTCCCCAACTGATGTCAGTCCATGATGAATACTACTTCTAAATTAAAAAATCCCCATTTATCTAAAAATACATTACTGTATAGTGCTCATCAGTGACTTGCTTCCAGATGGACATCACGAGGCTATAATGAGAATCCATGATCTGTGGGGTCAACCCGTCGGAAGTGAGGGGATGTCAACTGAAGACCTTGGGTGATAGTCACACTATGTCGTGAATTGACAGAAGTTGGAAATTGTGAGCCACTGAAAATCGATCCAGTGGGTGAATAGTAACGCGTTCTCCGTGAAACCTGAAGGTGCTCAGCTCCATCCACAGCCAGGTCATGGATGCGTACTGCTGAGTAGTCCCATGATGGGACGAAACAGTTATCCAATGCTCCTAGGTTTTCAATGGTTCCCCAACTGATGTCAGTCTATGATGACACATTATTATTTACTGGATGACGTTTCGAGCACCATTTATTACTCATACTCACATCGAAGTAATCATACGACTTCTAAACTCCCTCAAATAACCCAACAGTTCTTCACTCGTTTATTTTAGTGGTGGTAAAATTTTCCCGATGTCTACAATAAGTAAGTGGTGAATAATTCTGTTACATGTGTCACTTGTGGATCCAATGAACGAAGATTTTGCGATCCATCTGACCCTCCACCTAGATATATTGAGTTTTAGAACTATCATCCTATCCCACCCAATCATAGACCCTAGTATGATAAGTAACTTAGAGGAAAACTCGGCTATTGCTATACATGCACTGACCCATAATCAAAATGTGTACGGTGGGATAAAGTGACAATTCTAAATCCAATGTGGAGCTAGGTGGATGGAGAGATTAATTACACGATCTTTGTGCAATGAGTTACTCACTGTGGGCTGTATCAAATAAGCAATCGAATATATAGTCACAAAATAGATTGTCCTAATCGACTATACTCACCATGATGTTGACCGCTTAAACATCTTACCGGTTAGTTTATCAAATGTAACTAAAAAAAAGCGAAGTCTAGTCTGAATATTTCTTTCCACTTGACTATTGTCTGTGGTAGATCATACCTAACAAAAGTATTTCACGGTACCTGCGATGAGTCTGTATGAGTGAAAATTTATTAACCAGTCCTAGTGATTCCACCTGTGTAGACGCCTTCGCCAACTTATTAGCTGAAACTCTTTTGCTAAAATAATAACAGTCCTACCAATATTTTATAGACTTCCGGATCGAAATTCGGTCTGATAGAAGTGAATGACTTGAGCATTGAGTAAACGGAAATATATTTGTAAAATTCAAATGAGGTACACAGAAAAACCATTTTATGACAATTCACGAACTCCTGGGAACAGCCTCTTCACAGAATGAAACCTGTACACCTCATCACACGTTCAAATAGTAAGTGAAGACAAATCACATCACCTTGTTCATACACCGTGATAGTAATACTCTTAAGATAATTATTTCTACACGACAACCAACACTCACACGAATCACTCAGTTCACTTAGAAGATAAAATTCCTTTCACTCTCACACAGAATTGTGTCCAACACATGACTGTGATGCTGATTATATTGAGGAATCATCCATTCCACAGAATACTCCCTCATGTTAAATGGCAATCAAACTATGCAAAACGACCTCGAAATAATCCTGTAGAACTGAAAAATTTACAAATCAAATGGGTAATTGCTCTTCATGCAAATGATTTTATGACGACAAGAAAGATGGATAGGTGAAACATTTCACATGATGTTGAGTCCTAATGCATTTAACAGAAAGTGAATGATAAATATCTCATCAACACGGACAGTGTGTCCGAAATAACCCAGTGCACACACTAAACCCTATAACTAGGCGAAGGACACCGACAAACAAAAATGAATTTCTCATCTATAGTATTTCTCTCACACTTTCACACGCATTCAAATCTTCACCTTGAACTCATGGACTAGTAACTGGTGATAACGATGACACTTATGCTCATCTTATCATCATATATGAACAAGGTGATCTGATTTGTTTCCATGACCATTTAAACATGCGATAACGTTTACAGGTTTAATTGTGTGAAGAAGCGACTTCGACGAGATCACGAATCATCAAAAATTAACATGTCTACCTACTTACCACATTGAGGATTTACAAATGAATGTGGTGAGTTGGCAGAAATGGGAGACAGTGGACGATTGAACTGCAACTGTGTGCCTGAATGGTCATTGTTTCGCCATGAAACATGAAGGTGCTGAGTGAGATCGTTGGAGGAGGAGGTGGATGAGGATGAGGAGGAAAAGGGTATCGTGGATGCCTATCATTGAGTCTGATACTAGGGCGAAACAGCTGTCCAATGCTGTCAGATGGATTTTCTCCCGTCTGCCAATTGATGTCAGTCTGCGATGAATGCTACCTGAAAAATATGTACTTCCTTCATAGTAATCTCAGTCACTTTTAGATGTATCATTTTGTTGATTTTCTAACCTATTTTACACAGGTGTTCCTGCACTTCATTTGATTCCAATTCCATTTCCTAAAGTATGGCATACAACAGGAGATAATGCATCAGTTATACACTGGGACACATGTGTTGATCTGCTGTTTCTTGTTGAGGCATTTGTAAGAAGTTATCTACACATTTTACTGTGATGAATGTACAGTATAATTTCATGGATGGATGGAAGGAGAAGTGATCGCGGTCATTCATTCATTCATTCATTCATTCATCCATAACAATACACTTATGGTGCAATCAACGATTTCGATTACTTGTATACACAGATCGTGTCTAGAAATGCTGTTTCACTGTACAACCTTTTATATTGTCCACATGATTGAAATGATTTGTCCGAATTCCTTTCAAGTGGATTCTTTATGTGAGTGTGTGTGTGTGTGTGTGAGTGAGTGAGTGAGTGAGTTGGGGAGTTTGTAGAGAATAAATAAACAGTGAAGAATTAATTTGCTTGTATCGTTTTAAAGGTGGGATCGAATGAAAGTGGTGAAATATGTATAAACATCCGAATATTATTTTATTTATTCGTTTTACAATTTGTGCCAACTTCACATAAGTCATTCGACACTGAAGGTGGTAGTAGGTCCACGAAAGTGTTATACTAAAGTCATGGTTGGAGACGATTGGCGGGATACCTTGAGGTGTTGGTGCTTGTTGGCACTGATCACCAGCAGTAAGGTGTATCAGCATCCTCGATGGAACTGATATCCCCTGTGAGATCGGAATCGACGCCACCGAATGTTGTAGTCAGCGATGTTGTTACTGAGCTATTTCGACTTCAGTGATTGACACTGGATTACTGGATATCAACCAGTTTCATGCTGCTTACTCCAGAGTGTTGATTGAATTCCATCGACCATGTTTGTAATGCAGACACCAATGTAGCAGGGTCACCATTGCAGTGCACTTTGATTGATGTTGGTCGGATGGAGGCAATCAGCAGGAAGTCGTGGACACGACCTAGATTTTATGCATCAATGAGTGTCGTTCCATCTTAATTAGGACCCGTCAGTTGAATCTATCTGTTTGTCGATGAGTGTTGTTTCTCTGAATGCGACTAAAATCCATCCAAGGAGACACAAAGTGAACGGCTTGAATATCAATGGTTCTCATGCTGGCTAGCAACCAGTAATATGAAACATTCGTCTAGGTAATCAACTTCCAACTAGCAGTAGTAGTAGTAGTAGTAGTAGTGGTAGTAGGTCAGGGATTCGATCTCCGCTCCACCTACTGAGGTGTAAGTAGACAGGTGAGATCACTATCACTCACACAACTGTTGTAACTCTTTCGTCTGTTGAACACAACTTGGTGTGGTTGTCGAGTTACACCTGAGTGTGCAAATCAAGTAACTGTGACAGTGATTGATGTCATATCATGTAGGGACAGATAGTATTCATACTATGCCAAAATCGTGCGTATTCCCATCCACTATATTCATACCTTCAGCTTTGCATCAAGTTCAACACTTCTGATTGATTCTTGATCTAGCAAAACTAGCATTGGAACCGGAACAAATCAGATGACATTGTTCTTACATGATAATTATGATAATATGTGAATAAGTGTCATAGATGAGTGTCAGTTAGTAGTCTGTGAGTTCAAGATGAAGATGCGAATGGGTTTGAATGTGTGAGAAAAATTCTATGAATGAAGAATTCGATTTGTTTGAGTGTATATGTGTTTTAGTTACTTTTAAGGTGTACAAAATATCACTCTGGATAAGATACCGAAGTTGGTGGTTGCATATTATGCCGGCTTTCCTTTCTGTTGACTGCATTAGGATAATATTAATAATGATAACAAAGGCTTGATTGTGAAAGCGATTTCCGGAATACTATACACTATTTTCAACACGTTTCATATATCATCAGTTGGACCGAAACATTGCATATGCTTACGTAACAAAGTGAAAGGAGTATAAATTATATCAAGAAAAGATAAGAATATTCATGTTAGCTACAACTTTCTTGAAAATGCACAGTTAATTTAGGTGGACAGTCATATTAGTAATTATATTCCTAATACATAAATAGCAACAAGCTGTTTACTCATAAATCAGTTTGCTTTTAAAACAGAAGTTGATCAATTAGTTCATGTGTAATACTTTCTTCATCACACAACAGACGAGTTAAATACTTACGTACGGCATTACAAAGTTTTATATTTTGTAGTAGGTGCATAAAGTCTTATGTACTTGCTGCTTATCTTTCCAGATGACCGACACGCTGAGAGCCTTCCTTGAGTGAGTAGGATGCTGGTGGTTTGAGAAGATAACTGTTGTCAGATGTTTACATGAGTCAATATATTTGCTCACAAGAGTTTGAATTCGAAGCTTTAAAGGTACACGACTAGTTCTGTTGACAATCTTCAAAGTTCTACGCAATACAGCATAGATTTTTTCAGCAAACCGAGAAAGAATAAAGGAGAACAGGGAAGATGCAAGAGTTTATAAAAAACACAACAGTGGAGTCTACGTCACACCAGATACTCTCAGCTTCGTAATATAGAAAGTTAGATGTAAAATTCTTTTGGAAACTGTTGAGATATGGGAGGACCAGGGAAGGTTGGAAGAAAAACACACCGAGATAAATCACACGTGTAACATCCTCTAATCCACGATTATCAACAGAACAGAAATCATGAGAACAAAGCAGTTTAAATAGGTTATGTTCACGTCTGATACTAAAGTTTATAGTGTGAGGAATTAAGCATAAGACCACTCACGGAGGACCATTGTCTAGCAGTAGATAAGAAGGCATTCAGCTAGGGACAATCTGTTGAAGATAAGACATGTATGGGAACTGTCAGGTCATCAGGATATTTGATAAAATTGATACTAGCTGAAAATGATTGGTCATGAGGAAAGAGAGAAGATAGGGGTAAAGGACGGCTCTTCGGGGAACATCAATCACCTACAGTAAACAGTGGGATAGAGCGCTTCCTTCCATGAACTCTATATTGTTTCCTTTCAGAGGAATAGGAATACAGACAACTGATTATCCATAATGTGCAATACTCAACCTACCCATCCTCCATTGAAGCCTGAAAATCATTTTGAACAGTATTTATGATTTGATTATCGGTTCTATGACTGTGATAGATGAGATGATGAGCAATTGACGATTTGACTTATAGATTTCCAGTTCGACAAGATTACTTGGAGGTCATTTTGTGTAACTGATATTTTCTGCAGCACGAAGGAGAATTTTGTGAGATGGATGATTCTCCGATACATTAAGCAGCACAATCGATACACCCTATTGTGTAGAGACAGTTGTGTGTTGAGGTGTACAGAACTAAAGGATTCGCGAGAGTGTCGGTTGTCATGTGGAGATATTGTTCTAATTTGGTGTTTTCTTATCCCTTATTCATATCTTTGACAAAGTCCATTGGCATTATTTTTTATCTGTCCTTCGAATTTTTAAGATTCTAATCCTGAAGCCTATTTATCAATTAACGTTGTTATTTCTGGCAGTACACATTGAAATAAAGTTATGATAGGTTACTATGCTTTCAAGCATAAATAATGAACTCTTACAGTGCTCAGTAAATCTATTAACCTGTGACGTTTATGTCGACGTATTATGATGCATATGCAAATTGTTTACAATCTTGTTTCAAGGGTTTCTTTTCTCCGGTAGAATTGTAAACCAAAGTTTTAGAGGTTTTTATACTAGATACAAATGTAATGGAATGATGATGATGATGAAATGAAGCGAACTTCTTGATAGCGGCAGAAGTGATATTTGACAGGAGAAGTAGAAAGGTTGGCACGAAGTATGGCACATTTTTGATAAATGATAGCAGCGAATTAGAGAAAGTAGAGGTAACACCAACATTGTGAGCATGGTAAAGATTTGTTTTAAAAATCCTCGAAGTTATTTACTCAAGATCCAGAAGCCTGCGGATTTAGTGATAAGGTGAGATTTGAGATTCCAGTAAAGAACTGCAAATGACTTTGAAAACGGTCTGAATCTTTGTGTATTTAGAAGCAGAAGCAGAACAACAGTTTTGAGGAGTGTTGAGACGAGAAATAATTGAAGCTGACAGCTTGTACAGTTCACTTTTAGATGATGGACAGGTAACATTACAAGTGCAAGGACCTGAGAAACAATCTACTACTGCCAATGATGCTAGTGTTTATAGTACTGGTGCCCTCCTAAGACAGTTAGAGAGAGTTGTGGAGTATACATGCCAACTGCTTTTTGACATCAGCAGTAATAAAGTACTCAGTCATCGTTTGGATGCTAGATAAATGGGAACCTTACCTACTGAGTGGTTGATTCCATATTATCACTGGTTATAACCCCTCTAGTGGTTAGAGACCTCCATGAAAAGTTATTACTATGGACTTTACTCTTATAGAAGTATGACTTCACTACTGGGTACATTTTGTAGAAAGAAAATGTAATAGTGGATTGGTTGTCAAGATCAGGTACGCAAGCCAAACTTCCCAAAACAGTACACATATTCAGTGCCCCAAAATAAGATTCACTAAAACTAACTTAGTTACCAATTAATTTTATTTAACAAAAAGTATGCAGATCTAAAATAAGGACTAGAGTTCAGAACTTTTTATTCTAACAAAAATAGGATTGTTAGTCTGATACAGGGTGATGATTGAAGGTGAAATGAAAATCTGGGTCGCGGCAGGATTCGAGTCAGTGGCCTCTTTAGCTTAGCTGGTGGAGCACCAAGCCCATAACACAGAAATTGCTTGCTCGTATCATCATAAAGCGATATAGATTTTCATTCAACCTTCCAAGTATCAAAAATAGGACTAGTAAACAAGAATTTTATACATACACAGGAAAAGGTCAAAGATTTGAATCAATAAAACGAAGATATCATGAAGAAAATATGGATGAATTGGAGAGAAAACTATTGAATAGAAGTTAGACAGTTGTAAAACTAAAGCTTTCTTAGTCAAAAAAGGACTACATAAAATGCTTTCGTGCAGAGAGTTCAGGATTCTCATCATGAACAACAAAAGCGTCTACTGTACAAAGAAGACGTAACCGAAATCTCTTTCAGGAGCCTGGTCTCACTGATATATCAGGTCAAATGAAAACTGCCTAAGTGTCGTCTCATCTCGGAGAATCACTTGCTCTATGATAGAGCTTTTTATTCGTATGAATTCTTTATCTAGATTCTCATGCTGATGAATGCTTTTGATCACGTCTTGACAATGCTGTGCTGATGGGTGTCGTTAGCAAAATAAACTTAACTGTCAAGTTTCCGACCAACCTAGATCATGCATCGAGAGACACTAAGACTAAAGGATGCAGTGAACAATGTTCTTGGAAATGCATTTGATGGATGAGCTTTTGTCAGTGACCACTTTAGTGGTTTGAGTATGCACAACGGTATTAGCTCCAAACGTGTTGTAATGTAAATCGGATAACACGAACAGACATCACCTTTACTCTACCAGAATGTTACGGGCCTTATCCTAACCAACATG